TGTGGCTGCAGTGTGCAATGCCGCCACACTTCCCTGGCTATGTAGCCATTCCTATTTTTTCGAACATCTATGGCTGATCTGTAAAAGATGTATGTATCTGTAAAGTATGTAAAAGTAATCTGTAAATATGTAAAAGTATGTAAATCTGTAAAGTATGAATGATGTGTTAATGTAGAAAAAAAAATATAATAATAATTTACCAATACATACAAACATTTACGTAGAATATATAAAATAGTTTAAAAAATGATTTTAGTGTAAGTTAGTAATACCAAAGTGCAAATAAGATAACTTTAGGTCTAGATTGTAAGTTAGTTGTAAGAAAAAGCCTGCCTGTAGCTGCTTAAGCAGCAAGGCAGCAGCAAAAATAAAAAAAAACACAAAAAAACTTATAGATATTAAATTCCCCTTCTTCACAGGGTTACTGTGGAGGGGACAAAGAGAAAATCTGTAAAAGAGAGCTAAATTGTAAAAAAAGAACTAGGCAAGGAATGACAATATCCGTTCGGCGCGCTTTTGGCGTTGTTTATCGCAATTTTCATGCTAGTATTGGCGTCTCGCCTACTGTAGCATATCTCACGGGCGCTTGTACGTGGCCGTGGGATCCGGCTCGTACGAAGATAAATATTTTATAATGTCATTGTTTGACGCTCCAAATTGCATCCACGGACCAGGGTTCGGTAATGAGATGCGCCGCCGGCATGGGTATGTCACGTGATCCCTCGCGAGGTTGCTGGGGAGTAACCAGCCGTGGTTATTCGTTTGTGAATCGCGGTGCGTGAGGCACTTTTCACCCGCTAGGGGTTATCGCTAGCTTCAGCTGCGAGATGTGGCGGTTTGCCACGGGATGAGAGACCACAAACGGCGCTAAGTTAGCCGCTGGGGTCTCCGTCAGGCTGAGGCGGATATGCCTCAGGGATGTGCAGTGCTGGGAGTGCAGCGCTAGTTCCTCTGGAGTGTAAATATTGTGCAGGAACACTTGTAAATAAATCTGTAACAACTCTGTATCTGTTTCACTCGCACCCGACGACGTCACAATTTCAATATTCAATTCACTCATTCGTGCAAACAGTTATCTTCTCCAATGGGACTTCTTCTTATTTTTATTTTAGGCTAGTGCCTGTTTCTTTACAAAGGGTACTTAATTAAATTTTTTTTAAAAGAAAACTGATATATTACATTTATGTAGTCATATTTATAAATTGGCACTATATTAATGCTGTCTTGTTTCACAAAATGTCTTTCCACCTTGTTCTTGGACGTCCTTCTCTTCTCATTCCTTCCGGTCTTCTATCTCTAGTCACTTTCACCAGTCTGTCTTCCTCCATTCTGTCTACATGTTCGTTCCTTATGTTAGTCCGTTCGTTCGTTATATTAGTCCAATAGGACTAAATAATTATTTTTCCAACAGATCTTCATAGAATTCAAAGTGAAGGAACTGTGTCAAATATTTGACTAAGCTATTTGAGATGCTGATATGTTAAACCTTGAAGTTCATTTGTTGATAATGCTTTCCTAAAAATAAAAACTGTGAAAATTCAAAAAGGAGGAGAATAAATGCTAAAATCACTGAAAAGGAAAACGAGGAGATATTCTAAAAAGCAGATCCCACACTTAGAATAGTACTAAATGAAATTTTAATTGGCGCTACAGCATCAAAAAAATTATGAGAGAAAATATTAAATTTCGTTGATTGGTTCACGTGCATTAAGAAAAAAAAACTAATCGAAAACAGAAAGATTGATTGTCTACGTCCCATAGATAAAAGCAAATAAAAACGAGCGGTGCTACAGAATGGCACTTTCTCGTAGTATAATTTTCTAATTTCCTTGGTGTGTTACGGTCTTGCGCCCATCCTCTTGGCGGCTGCCATCTGACGCCGCCCTATTTTTTCCCTTCAATTTTTCGGTTTCCTAATGGTAGATTGGAAATATTACTTTTAAAATATTGAAGATGAGTAAAACCTCATCCTACAGGGAATTTTTCGTTGAAAAGTTTGGAGTCGTTTTTAAGAAAAAATCGTTTAAGATTTTTGTAGTGTAAACTTGGAGGAATATAGAATTGTATATATTGTATATTCGTCTATGATGAAAATGCGAAATTTTAGTCTCATTTTCACTGTAATCTTTTGAGTTTTCGTGAAAATTTCATTCGAATAACGTTCACTCAAAAATGTAATAATGTAGTCTACACAAATTGCTGGAAATGTCCCTACAATTAACGGCGTGAGAGACATTTCTAAAAACAAACATAATTTTTTGTCATTAAAAAAAATGAGAATACTTCAAAATTAATTCTATGATATCTTAAACAGTACATTAAGAACTATCCGTACAAAAATGTGAAAAAAATTGGAGCCGTTTTTGAGAAAATGGCGTTTGAGCATTTCTGAAAATGGAGCTCGTTTTCACGGAAAACTATTGAGTTTTCAAGAAATTTTATCGGATATAATTTGAAGCGCATGTAAATGCAATAATATGAACATATCGTCGCAAGCATAAAAATTAACGTCGGTTAATATTTTGTGGTTGGTCAAAAAATTACATTTTTGTAATTTTTGCAAAACGAAAGCTTGGTGCTATCACACTTTCAAAAGATGATGTCGAAGCATTTTGAGCAGGAAACTGGGAGGAAAGCAGATCCTACAACAAAGACACATATTTGCTTCAATCTGAAGTTGATGCTGCCAATGAACAGTGGAACAAGTGCACGAATTCTCGGAAGAGCATCTCAAGTAATTACGAACATGGGAAGCTGGTAATCCCCGAGATTGATAAGATCCAGTATTTTTGGATTAATAAATTAACTGCACTACGTCCCCATCTCGTAAGGGCTGTTAATTCAATTTTAGAAAACTCAAAGGAACTCCCGAAATGGCTCTCCCGTGGCGCCACGCATTTGCTACCCAAAGCGGGAGACAGCTCTTTGGCGAAGAATTACAGGCCAATCACTTGACTGTCAGTACTATACAAAGTTATAAATGTAGCCATAGCGGACAAAATGTCCAGACACCTAGAGAGGAACCATCTGTTGCCAGTTGGGCAAAAAGGATGTAAATGTTCTAATGGCTGCAAGAAAATCTTGATTGAACAGTACATTAAGACTTGAAGACATTGAACTTCTGATGCTACTAAACACGAAATGTGAGACATAAAATATGTTAAAGAAATCGTGGAGACACCACTCCATGGACGAAGTGCAGATCAATAAAGATCAATCATTTATGTGGCTTAAAAGCGGAAGAATGAAGCCAGAATCGGAAGCAGTTCAAACAGCTGCTCAGAATCAGGCGTTTAGATCACATTATTGTAAAGCGATTCTCAAACTTTCCCAAAATGATATATGCCAGGAAACCATGTATCACATTGTCTCAGTTAGACCAATTCTAGCAAAGATCGAATTTGAAAAGACATGACAGGGTGTGTAATCACCTCCACTACCAGATCTGTACCGCCCTTGAATTTCCAAACTCATGCCCCAAGAGGTACGAACACTCACCAAAACCGGTGATATCTGTTGGACTCTATACAATGTTGTACGACCAACAAATTCAAACGGATCGCATGATAGCAGAAAACAAACCGGATATTGTTATTCGGGATTTGCAGAAAAAGTCGTGTTTACTTGTAGATGCTGCTGTGCCTTACGATCAAAACGTCGTAACCGAGGAGGCAGAGAAATATCTTAAATACAAGAGTTTGGAAATCGAGGTCAGCCGAAAGTGGGGCGTAGGAGCACAGGTCGTACCGATAGTCATCGGAGCTCTTGGATTTGTTCCGCACAATTTGGGCAAGAACTTGGCTAAACTTCCATGACTTTCAAAAGACTGCGACGTGCGAGAAATTGCTTTATTTGGAAGAGCCCACATTTTGCGCAAAGTATTGTAGAGGCACCGAAAGCCCCTAGATCTGCTCCTTAGGTAGCTGGTTGCAACCTGGAGTATGTATATTCAGCTGACTCAGATCTTCAGTCGTGACGTAGAGGAATAATAATAATAATAATAATAATAATAATAATAATAATAATAATAACAACACTCTACAACTGACACTTGCTAAAACGGAGATTGTAGTCCCTACCAGAAAAAGAATCCCACCATCCTACCCATGCAAGTGGTAAGTGAAAAACTATTGACAAAGCCGTCTGCAAAATATCTGGATGTAACTCTGGACACAAAGCTGAACTACAGGCCCAACATAAGGAAGACAGCTGACAAAGCTACAACGGTAACTGCAGATTGACGGCTAACGTAGACGGTCTACAGCCGAATAAAAGGAGACTGCTGATGTCGGCAATACAGTCAATGATACTATATGGATCAAATTGTGGGCCGAAGCGCTAACTGTGAAGAAATACAGAACACGGATCACAGCGGTGCACCGTAAGGAAGTGCTGAGAGTGGCATGCTCTTACCGAACAGTCTCTGGAGACACTATCCTGGTGATCGCTGGAGTAATGCGACCTGCTCGCTCTGGAGCGCAAGCGAATCTACGATAAGAGCGCAGTCGAAAGCAGAGCGAAAGCGACACGAGAGGAACGACGAAGGACAATGGAACACTGGTAAGAACGCTGGAACTGTGAGACCAAAGAGAGATGGTCGCACCGGCTCATCAAACAACGGTCCCCATGGATGCAACGGGAGTTTGGCGATGTGAATTTCTATCTCTCCCAGTTCCTGACAGATCATGGCTACTTCAGATTCAACCTCTATGTGTTGAGTAACCGGTTTTGCTCTTCATTTTTTGAAGTTTTTTTCCACCTGCGCACAAAAAACATCCTCTCCCCCCCTCCCCAGTCGATATTCAAGGCTAACAACCTTGTCTTAACGAAGGGATGAATCCGAAACGCCGATCCTCATAATTCCACATATTGATCTCTCCAGGATACTACTGGATCCATGAGAGAGAAATGTATGCAAATAATAATAATAATAATAATAATAATAATAATAATAATAATAATGAGAATAATAGGAAAAACATGAGGGTAAAAAAATTATGTACAAATTGTCACATTTATGAACATATATTTTCTTACAAAAAGAAAAAGATATTGTTATGAAATAGTTAAACATCAAATTCGTAAAGCACCCTGAATAAAAAGATCAACACATAAGAAATGCCATTCTTGCATTCCATTCATCATCCAACAACAACTAAATATTGCCAATCAGGTCCCGTACATTATTCTTACATCTGCCTAATAACATTGTAATACTGTTTTCTTAAATCGTTTTTCTGCTAATGATATACTTAATAACAGACTTTTATCCAAAGTCAGCCATACCATGTAATAAAGAACAAATTATATTGAGATGAAAAAGAATATACAATGGTCGAATTTTTAAAAAAATTAAATAATATCTTCACCTTCAAAAAAATTGTCATAAATAATTTTTTAATGTGTTCAGTAATTCACATTGGAGATTTATTTCACATGAGTCAATGCTTGCAGCTGCAGAACATGGCCAATATCTCAGAATTCACAGAAAATACAAGCTTATTGAAGAAACAACATTCACTCCTTTTACATTAACTCGTACATTCATTTCTTTAGGCTACAATAAACAAAGACAAAAAGCATGCATTCAGCACTTAAATGTACAATGCAATACAAAGAGATGATGATTAAGCAATAGCTGCCACATAATCTATACAATACGCACGGTGACAGATCCCCAGTATTTCAGAGAAACCGAGTTGTCTGCCTTGGCACAAGTATCTCACACAAAAACTTCTCATCTTTAATCACAGAGTCACACCTCATTGGGACAACTTTTGATAAGTTTTTAAAATGGATAAAAATATTCAAATAAAATATTCTACAATAACTTTGCTTTTCACAAAAAACAAAAGTAAAAATATACAATCTTGCACACACATATAGCTGAATGAAGGATCCATATCACATTTAAATCTATAGGAACAGGAGCAATAATGAACAGGAAGTTCATAATTAACACTAGTAATAATCATATAAGCACTCTAAATAAATATATATGCAATATTGACATAGTCCCAAAATATCTTGGAAAAATTCTTCATCCAAATAACTTGTAATATTAATTCACATTCACTACACACCCTATAATGTTGTTACTGTTCTTCAAATACACAATCCACTGCTGATTTAATACAGAAAACACTTAGTTCAAGTGTGTTTTGCTGCTGCTGTAGCAACAGTAGTGGAAGATGTAACATTTGCTGGAGTGGCTGCGCTCACCGGTGGTCGTGCAACACTTAGGTACAGTGGTGAGCGCAGCAGCACGCCTCATGGCAGCGGTAACCGTACGACGGGGGCTGCCACCACGGGTCTCAAATGAAGTAATGTGGTGGGCGCAGTGCGAACTGCACGGGGGCTCGGTGTCGAGGTCCCACTCCCTGTACTCCCAGCGGGCCGTGAGGTGGTGGGAGCGGCGGACCCCGTGGCGGGAACTGAGACGCGAGCAACTGTGCTCGCTGTTGGTGTTGCTGTTGTTGCAACACAAGTGCCGCCCGTTGTTGCTCGCCCTGATACATGGCATAGGATGACAGGAGATGCCCCTGAAAAATATATAACAGCCTATAAACATTTAATGAAATTTTAAAATGTTAAGTACATGTTCAGGCAGGAATGATAGAGGAGAAAATTACTTCTGCCAAGATGAACTGTCCCCGAGCATTGGAAAATGTATAAACATTACAGCACATACTCAATAAGTCAAATTAATCCCCCCAAAAAATCAGATACATGAATGAACATATTACCTTGATACTGGCAACTGAAGGCTTGGTTGTGGCCGTTAAGAGAGAATAATGTAATAGTCAATGCAAGGCAACAAAATGAAAATGACCTACTGAAGTTGTTTACATTCTACAAACATGGCTAAAAAGAAAATTGCTGACATTCAAGCACTATAACAAAGTTTTCAGGGACTTATAGCACCTTGGCAGAACTACAGTGCCATTCATGACTCCTGAATAAACCAGTGGCATACAGGCAATTTCAAACAGAGGAGGTATTTCTGAATGAAGTTCCTAAACATATTGCAGCATTATGGAAGTTAAATTTTTGAATAATTATTTAAAGATATTTAAAACACTCCTTGCATTATGTGTGACTAATTACAGTTAGTCCTCATTTCGTCTTGTTGTTATTCATAATATGAAATTTGGTTGTAATAATTCATAAAAAGTTTTCTGTATTAAATACCATTTTTTTAAATTTTGTACTTTTCGTCTTCTCATCGTGAAAGTTAAAACTGATTACAATATGCTAAAATGAATATTCTCATGAAGTAATGACTAAAATACTAATCGTTTGGGCTACTCACGTTTCTCCGCACTGTCTAGTATAACGTCGTATGTTTCAAAAGGTATTCAGATGGCTTATTTGTGCTTCAATATCATTAGATACAGTAGGAGATGGTTACAACAGTATTATTGGTCATATTAAGATTTGTAAATCCATTTTATTAGGAACTATAGACCAGCATGGATGACCGACGCGAACATTAATCAGAGCATCTAACATTTTATAATTCTCTTTACCTTGATAAAACAATTATCTAAAAGGCAGCTAAATACAACAATACTATTCGCAAGAACCGATCGAAAGCCCGAAAGAAGAAAAGGATAACCAACGCAATAATATGAGTATACTGCACTGTATTCTGAAAAGAAAAATGGTGCAAAAAGCATAAATGAGGAGTAAAGGATTTACTTACAATAATGCCAAAAAAAAAAAAAAAAAAAAAAAAAAAAAAAAAAAAAAAAAAAAAAAAAAAAAAAAAAAAAAAAAAAAAAAACCGCAATTTCTAACCTAAATGAACAATTCAAAAACAAAATAATTTCGGAATGTCTTACAGGAATATACAGTTCTGATCTTTTCACGTTTAACTACCAATCTGTTTGGTCTGCTTAAAAATACTTTTAGACGACAAAGATTTGCCTCCGACTTACAGATTAGGAAGCAGTGCATACGACATTCGTACACGGCTTACTGCCGAATCAATAATCCTTTTTTCTGAGGGTAACGGAAAGCTGGTGTTATGATGGACCATGCACACAGATAAGAATGCATGGTGCCTCTCTTGAAAAATTGTGAAAAACATAAAAGTACTTTATTTTACAGAAATATTTATGTTAGCAGTTTTCTTCATTATTGGTTCACTGGAAAGCAATACTCCATGGACAGACTGACAGTTTTTAACTTCCATTCTGGTGCTACAGAATGGTACAGACTTTTTTGTACTAGGTAGTTTTCTATTCTCTTTAGTCTGGGCTAGCTTTTCGGTTTTGCTCAACCCCACCCTCCACAGCTGAGAGAGGGAGAGAGAGAAAGAGGAGAGAGAGAGGGGAGAGAGAGAAAGAGAGAAGAGGGGAGAGAGAGAAAGAGAGAAGAGGGGAGAGAGAGAGGGGAGAGAGAGAAAGAGAGGGAAGAGAGAGAAAGAGAGGAGAGAGGGAGAAAGAGAGGAGAGAGGGAGAAAGAGAGGAGAGAGGGAGAAAGAGAGGAAAGAGGGAGAAAGAGAGGAGAGGAGAGGAGAGAGAAGGGAGAGACAGACACGCACAGAGACAGAGAGACACAAACAGAGATATACACAAACACACACAGACAGACAGAGACAGACACACACAAGGCCATTAAAGCGAGCTAACGTCTCTGCTGGCGTGAGCTGTGTCGAGAGGTTGATGAGGACCCATGGGGCAGGCCATACAAAATCGCTATGACCAAGCTGTATGGCGCGGTCAACATGACCCCGACCTGTCCAAACCTATTGCAGAACATCGTGGCCACTATCTTCCCGATCCACACGGAGACAAACTACGCAGCCCCGATACATCGACCCACGGACGTGGCCCCAGTCAGCCAGATGAACTTTGGAATGCTGGCCGCCGGAAATTCAGAACAGCTATAGCTCCGGTTCGGACGAAATCCAAACGGACCTGAAGGTTCCATCGAAGCTCGCCCGACCTCTTCTTGGGCTGTCGTCGACAGATTGTCTGACGTAACGTTCCTTCCCGCGCTGCTGAACGACAACGGCTAGTGCTGCTTGCTAAGGGCATAAGAAACCACCATGCGACCCGTCCATCCTTACCCCCGATTCCTGTTGAACAGGCAGTGTAAAATCCTGGAGCGAATTGTTGCAGCAGACTTGAGACCTTCGGCGAGAACAAACAGCGGCCTTTCCGATAATCAGTTCGGTTTCGCGAAAGCCGCTCAACAGTGGAGGCATCTGTAAAGTGTGAACATTGCTAAGAGAGACCATAGGCAGGAGCTGCTGGAGAAGGGCAGAAGAGTACGCGTCGTACTGGATATTAAAAAACGCCTTCAAAGCTCACGAGGTGGAGCTGCATTCAAATCCCTTCATCTACTCGGAAGTCCCAGTGTACATCAGACAATCATCAGCGATTTACTTTAAAAGATCGATGTCCTGTTTGCTAGCAAACAAGATGACGGTCCGAGGTGTCATTACGTGAACGGTGGTGTCCACAGGGGTCGGTTCTGGTCCCTATCTTTGGGAACATTCATGTACGATGCGTACGGACGACTGGAGTACCACATTGCGCGGAGACCATTAGCTTCGCTGACGACGTGGCGCTCGTGATTCATGGACCAAGCACCTGGAAGACGTTACCCTTGATGCCAAACAGCTCCATCGCGATAACTCGCCAGTGGCTGTCTTTCGTTTCGGTGGTCCTGCGATCACAAAACTGAGGCAGTGCTGATTACCGCAAGCAGGAAGAACGGCGAGACCACCCTCAGAGTGCGGAGACTATGAGATCCAGTGCCGTGTCCACACCTTGCGTAGCCTCAGGCGTACTGATTCGACGGCATCTCCATTTCGACGAACATCTTCGACTCAGTTAGCCAGTAAAGCGAGAATGTGCGATCTTGTCCCTGCCGCCGCGATTATCCGAACACCGTGAGCCCCAGGCCAAAGCAGACGGTAGCTGCCTCGCGACCGTGGTTAGCTCGACCCTGCTGTATGCACGCGACCAGTTGTGGGCGTGCCCTGGCAACAGCAGCATACACAGGAGCGACGATATCGATCTAACCGTCGGAGAGCTTTCAGATGGGCCTGTGCGTACCGCACGGTCGTCATATGACGCCCCGTACTGCGGTAGTAGCAGGAAGACACCTATAGAGATCTGGGGCGGACGAGCGCGACGATCTACTACCAAGGAAGACACGGCTCACGAACAGAAGCCCTCGGCTGGCCTGAATAAGAAGGAATTGAAACGATGAACGTGATGGAAAAACGCTGGGATGCAACTCTGAAAGCGTAGGTGACCCCGTCTTATCCACGTATACACGAGTAGATTCGAGGGTTTCACGTGAGAGTGGACTTCTTCGTGACTCACATTGCTGACGGGCATGGATGCTTTAGAGCGTAACCTGCACCAAATTTAAGCTCGATGACGACCCGAGTTGTCCAGCTTTGCACAGTACAGAGGAGGATATGGACACGTGGTGTAATAACTTGCCTCGCAATTGTTCAGGAGGAAACGAGACCAGCTTGCATGAAATCCTACAACAGCGCCCTACACCGGAGAACACCAATCCACTGATATGACCACGGAAAGAGGGCCGCAATTGCCAACGTACGCTGCCCGGTCATGCGACGCGCAGAATTTGAAGAGCGTGCAAGAGTAGAAGCCAGTAAGGCGTTAAAGGAGAGGCCAGAATGCCCCGCCACCCCACCTAACGAAAGTAATGCCTGACGGCGGTTCCGTAGGTGGGGCGAGGGACGTAGGTTTTTAGTGGGTATTATCAACGACTGAGTCCCCACAGCCGAATCGGCCCGGACATGAGAGTCTGGGTCGAGGGTGCGTAAATGCATTTTCCCCGTCGTTAACAAGACAGACAGACAGACAGACAGACACACACACACACACACAGGGGGGGGAGAAGAGAGATTTTTTGAGAAAAAATTGAAAATGTGAAATATTCATTTGGGGAAATTCCTATGAATATTTTAGATTTCATCATTGTTCACTGATGGGCAGACAGACTGACAGACGTTTTGGAAGAAAACCTACAACAGACTAACTTTTTCCGTGCCCCAAAATATGCATTTCAATTAAAATCACAAAATCTATTTTCTGCATCATTACATGACTTTCACAATACTCCATGTATGCATACAGGAAAGTAAAAATTAGTTAGAATTTCAACAAAATTAAAACAAACAAACAGAAGCTTTAAAAATAACTTTTGATAATATTTAAGATCACAAGAACTGAAATAGTCAAAAAGATGATGTGAACTTTAAGACAAATTATCCAAAGTGCAAATTCAAAATTATAAATAACTTACAAAGAAAGTTAATAAACCAGAAAATAGAGAAAAACCAAGTATTCTATGCATTCAGGGGATACCAGTTAAAAAAATGTGAATTGTGTTACTTACTTAACAATGTTCCAAGCCTTTTTGGCATTGAATATAGAATAATTATATTTGAATATTGCCTATATCTGAAGTCATAAATCATTGCTTTTTATCCTTATTGGCCTGGGGTTCCCTCCCTGCTTGGGACCAGTGGTGTCTCAAGATGCTTAAC